CGGACATAATTTGACGTTTGACATAATTCCGGCCCACCGTTTCGCTGCGCCGGCGACATCTTTATTGTCACACGTAATGGAACGGAGCGATCAAAGATTTGTGATTGTGGTTGACATTATTAGCTAATACAACATACACAAATTAAAGTAAGCTTACTTCAGCGACACTGCGCATCACGGTCTGTGTTCATAAATTACCCTCTACGGTGAATAAAAGGCATCGATTCCAGTTCATTTATAATAAGAGAGCTCTACTGTGTACTGCAAAGACTAACACCGAGACATGTATTGCAGGGATCGCACATAAATGGCTCATCATTTTCGACTGTTACAAAGGCCAATGTGCTAAAATCTAAGAAAATTCAAATGGGCATAGCTCTAAAAGAGTTAAGCGAACTTTCTGCAATAAAACCTATTTAGATTGGCATGATTTGTGTTTCATTATAACAATTGTGAATATAGATTATCTGCAATTCACCCAATATTTAATTTTAATAAAGCTCTACCGCTTTACCGGAAACAGATAAAATCATCAAAGTAGGTAATTGTTTCACGGATAGATTCGATATAATCCGTTTTAATGTCTACGCCTGTCTCATATGCAATTTCAGACACAGCTCACAGGAGTCTATCCGGCTCACAACATGAATGTAACACAACCCGTGGTGATTCACCATCCCAATCATTTCGAAGATATTTACGCAATGTTACGCCATGACGGTGATCGAGTTAACGCAAATTGTCGCGCGACAACTCAGGTTGCCAAGGAACTGCCCCAGGTCTAGTTGGCGTCTCGTATGAATCAGATCTGGAGAGATGTGAAATAGAACCAATGTCAGATTGTGTTTTGTGTGGCGGGAGTTGATTAGTAAGTCCCAATGACCAATGCAACCTAGAGAATCTACTTAATTTATATACATTTTTACATCAAATATTTACAACATTAAATCTAAATAAATTACATAAGATCCGTTACAACAGATCTTATCTAGAAAGAAGATATTTTCGAAGGGAAGACTACAGTTTTAGATTGTAGTCTTCCCTTCGAAAATATTAGGACGTTTTATAGACACAAATTTCACGTGGTCGAGTTCGCAGATATTGTAGATATTAAATGTCAGTTTAAATATTAAACTTGGGAGAACAATCAGGTTCCGTCAAAGCAAGATTTGATTTCTAGGGTTTTCATGTCCAATTACTTAATATCATATTACGTTGTTAGCTAATTAGCTAAATTAAAAGTAGTTCGTAAGGTAATCAATGACATTGAAACACTTGCTCAATGTCATTGAGCTGTTTTTTTACCTGATTATCTAACAATAGACCTCAACATCGGATAAGTGTTCAGAACGCCTACATATCAATCACTGCATATTCAAATTCAAAATATCTTTATTCATCTTATTAGACGAGTTCTTATGAAAGTCAAATTTTACATAAAATTTGTTATATAATTTCGTAAGTAAGTTACCACCGGTTCGGAAGGCAGTTTCTGGTGAGTTTCTGGTGATATTTTCATATTTCTCAACTTCCATCGCTGCACAATCAGATATCATTTCAGTACCAGTTCGGCTGATGAGCGCAATAGCTCACATTAACACTCGGAATTAAAGATATCCGTTGAAGCTTAGCCCACCGGGAGCGCGCGACGATTAATTCAATGAACGCGGCGTGTACCTCCAATTCACGAATTCGGTCAAATAGACGATGTGTCACGGCTGCCATACAACACTGTGCGAACGAAGCCGCGATGCAAATTGGCGCCAATTCACGAGGAACTGACAATTTTACAATTCCAACTGGATCCGAGTGACTCATAGACGACGTGCGGCTCGCATACAACTGTTGGAGTCTTAACGCCCTGGTAGAAAGACTGGAATTGTCGGTTCCTATGCACGCTGGAAGCAGCAGCAACTTTGCGGAGAGTCTCCTGTTTCACATTGTCAATGTTTACGCATTAAACCGCATGGTATCGTCTCTCGTGGATTATGACAAAGAAGAAGCACATATCCGTTCAACTGACTATCTCTTTGTAAATGATATGATAACTTTAACAGGAACACGCCTACTAATCAGCTATTCATTGATGTTAACAATTCTTCATAATTCCCAATTTTGAGGTTCGTTGTTCAATCTGTTTGTGTTCGGAACGTTTTGCCAAATAGACTTAATACTCTATCTTGTCAATTGCAACACATCATCATCCTCTAGAAAAAAATAAAACGTCTTCTAGAAAAAACAAATTTATGGACGATAAATTTGTTTTTTTTTACTTGTATTTTTTTTTTTGGTTTTTGTGTGACATAAAAGTCAATTTACAATGTTAATCTTACCTACCATTGCTGCTGTAATTTTCAGAAGAACTAACAACCAAAACCGAACTTGGGCAGATAATTAACAGCAATCTCAATATTTCCAGAAAGTTTTTAAAGTCATATTTATGTGAGAAGTTAGCATACAAGCCAGCGATCACCTGATTTTAAGTGACCACCACCACCTATGAACATCTAACAGTAACTATAAAACTGCAGATGTGTTGCCAACCTTTTGAAAAAGTGGGCCCCGGTTACCTCACTTACCTTGCAATCAAACAACACATTGAGGATCATGTTCTGTGGTATTCGGACTTGCCCTGCACTTGCTTGTCGCAACTATAATTGCTGATTATAAGCTTATATTATCGCCTCTTTAATATCTTAAAATAAAACATCATATTATTTTGATATATAACAGATAAGTTTCATGTCGGTTCTTCCCTGAATTGGTTTTAGATTAATGTACATACCAGGAGAAAAGTTAATAAACAAGCAATCCAACAAAACAAAACGATGGTTATTAAAAAAGTTCTCCTTTTACTATAGAAAACGGATTCCTTACATGTATTCCATAACTGAAGTGATTAAGATTTATGAATTACTTATTACGCCTTACTATTGACTGATTTAAACTTAATTGCCCAATGATTGCTGCATTTGTAAGGTTCAGTTATCTTGCATTACTTATTTGTGTCGGTTTCTAAAAGTGACTAATCAAAATAAGTACACAGTAATACCAAAAATAAAGCTCATAACCACTCATCAGTTTCATTCCCGGCTGCGATACTATCGAATTGGCAATACAACTCTTAATAGGCCTCTCAGCCGTGGGAATTACGAGCTACTTGAGGAGATTTCGACTGTTTCTTGTAAGCGCTAAGGTTGACGCATTATATTCCGCCATAATGACAGCACAATCCTGATCAAATACCAAGCAGGGGCCAAACCAAAATAGCTCTTAAGACGATAGCGTTACAGGACAAACATAAATACAGAGATTTTGTTAGACGTAAATATTATTTGGCACTGAGGTGACGGTACTTTACAAATAAATGTATGAGATTCCAAATACAGATAGACGTGGCGGAATTCGTCGCGCTTCACGATGAAACGTGATAATAAGTAAATTATTCTAATGCGTATTAATTTCTAGTAAATGATCACAAGTATTTTTTTTAATCTAATTTGAATCTATTACAACATTCAAGAATCATCAATGCTCTTAATTTTACTTTGTTGCCAGAACTATATGATATCTTTATAACTAAAAATGATATACTGAGGTTTTCTTCAATTTCATACAGCATAAACTATTATATGTCCAATCTATTTTACAACTTTAGAAGAGAGGAACTTATTTTAAAGCTTTCCAATGAAAGATCTTCCAGAAAAAATTTTGTGATATATCTAACATATCATGAACATTTTTACATAACTCCCTATCGAGAAAGTACACAAATAACAGAAAACAGCATAGGGATATTATTAATAGCTAATAAGTTTTAGACTATTGTTTTATGAACAATAACAAAATATGTGTCGATTGCAAAAGGAAAATCAAAGCAAAAAGTAAGTATGGATAGAATTCTCCCGCACAAGTTTCGCGTCAACAATGAAGTTGATAACGCCTGCACACCACTCGTCAGATAGCGGCGCGATGATAGCGGACCTTTTTCAAGTCTATAAATTCGAAACGCCATTCAATACGCCCATTAGCGCGTTTACTGAAATACCGTTCTAACACGGCCCTATTTCGTAAACACAAAAACCCGTCAAGCCCGCTTTGCCGACAGCGCTTGATATATCAAGCGAAATTGAACCCATTGGCTGGACAAAACGTCCTCAATAAGAGCTATGTACGACTGCTGAAATCGCAATACGCATTGGTGTTGACACGCATCGCGCCAAACGATCGGATGCCGATCGGAAAACCGCAGCCCAGTCCACGTCGCCCCAATTCCCACAGCATAAGGTTTAAAACAGTGGAGCACCGTCTGAATGGTAGCAAAGCTCGTGTGTTTCATCGAGTGCGCTATGCAAATACTCCGGGGGAAGTTCACATGGCCGCTAGTCAATTGTTTCGTGCAATGGAAACGGTGTCAATAAGCTGGCAATGCGAACGCCGATGAATATTCCCTGTACCGACGATGAAAATTAACAAAAACATAGCATATGGGAATTGTAAAGTTTCCAACTGTCCAGATCTTTTTCTTTGGAGGTCTTTGTTCTTCTTCTTCTTCTTTTCGAGTCAAAATAGCTACTAAGATCTTGTTCGACCCGTATTTGGCCACATCAACCGCAGCAGAGTTGGCTTCCTTGTATGAAGTTTGTATATAATTGATGAAGTTTCAAATAAATCATTGTTGGAAAATAAAAACAAAGTTGGTTTCTGTGAAACCAGTGTGAAATTATTTAAGCTGTTATACGCGATAATTATAATAATAGATCATGTATGAAACCAGCAAGAATATGGGATATACGAAATACTTAGAAACTCAGAACCAGATTGCTCCGAGACATTTCGAAAAGCGTACAATTAACTGTGACGCTCACACTAGGCGAGGCCAGCACCGTGAGCAACAAAACACGAACTCGATACGAACGAATTTATAACGTTAGTGTGGTTCAATATCCTTCGAACCAAATCGCCGTGGCCGCAACGAGAGCTACATTGAAACGCTGTTAGAGCTCGGCTCTTCCGTGATCGCGCCTTTCAGCAGACAGGAAGGAAGCGGGACGTTCCGATGGCGCCGTTCCTCTCGCCATTATCACCGCCGACGCCAAGGGAGCCAGCCGCGCGTGTCGCCCTCGTATGCGTATCGGATGGCGGGGCTGCACTTTATAATCTGCGGGATCCCTTTTGTCATTCCGCGACAGCCACCTCTTTAAATAATTCCTTTAGGAATGGGCCCTAACGGACACAATTTGACTCGCTCCCGTGAAAGCTTGATTCACTACACAATCTGAACCAATAACGTATAAGAGTCAGTTATATGATGAAAGATTTTAATGAGTGTGGGAACTGTAAGTAGAAACTGATAATTTGAATCCGCACGGAATCTGAAATAGATGAATTCATCAAAGAAAGCAAACAGTGACGTAGTTTCTCCAGCCATATATCTAAAGGCTGTTGCTCAAAGGTGTACTGTAAACGAACAATTTAATGAAAAGTCCTGATAGGTCAGTGACCGGGTACTCGCTATTAATTCAATAAACTCGAGCAGCCGAGGTTCAAATTCGAGGGTAGGCACCGATAAAATAGTTAATTTTGAGTTCTGATTTATCACGTGCTCAGCGGTGAAGGAAAACATCGTGAGGAAACCTGCTTTTTTTTTAAAAATAATACCAACAGAAAAGAGTATTTCGAAGATGTGTGAAATCCACCAACCCACAGTGGGGCCGCGTGGGGGACTATGCCCTAATACCCTCAATACAGAAGAGTTACTTCTGTGAGTGGGGCATATAGAGGCAACACAGTACACAGACAACACAGGGGTTATACACAGGGGCATATATAGTATAACAATTTACTGCAGCAGCATGTCTACAATAGGCCCGACTCCGATGGAGTGTTGGTTTAAAAGCCGCTCGCAACGCACGACCGCGCGACTAAACGTTAACGGCGGGGAATCAATCAATCGCTCACCTTTCCGCCGACGGCGACCTAATGACCCGCGACGCGTAGCTTTGGTTAGTTTAACATCAACATTACAACCCACAGGTGACGGTTAAACGAGGCGGATCGCTGACGGGGAACTTCACAATAAACTCCGGCGGGACTCAATCGATTCAGTATTGGCGGGTGACACGAGAGCAATTCAAATTACTCAGTTAACCGACCGTGTGATGAATATCGCGAATTAATCTTTTTTCGATCAAAGGGTCTTTCTAATTACTAATGCAATATAATTTATTCCCGTAATTGTGACAACGTAAATACATTGTCGCAATTTCAAGTAACTATATTATATACATAACTTGTGCTAGTAATTGGGTTGAGGTGTTGAATTGGATTAGTAAATAGACTTAGCCATAAACAGGCGTCAAAATTATATCATTTTATAGCAGTCTAACATTCAAACTTTTTATATCGTGAGCTTTAACTCATCTGTTCTTCATCTGAGTGTAGATCTCAACCATATTTTGTCAGACTGGGCAATATTCTAAAAAAGCGACAAATTCAATTCAATGTAGTATCAAAACGGTTATACCTCTTTAAAAGCCTTTAAAAGCGGTTATACATATTCAAAACCTAAATTAAATATAATTCTTATATCCTGACTCATTTTGTTCGACTTGGTCTTAACCTATTCAACTTTATTTTTCCGATGTTTTTTTCCCTATCTATAAAATAACAACAATCACGTGCCAGACGCAATTAGACATTGAAAATCATACCGGACCTAAGTACTGCTTAGAGTTAACAGCGTTAGTGTGTTGACATACTATCTTACCAAGGTTTTCCCTATAGCTAACCTCTTGAATATAAAATTAAGCAAGAAATTCTATTCAAAAATCAAAATCAAAATCAAAAAATATATTTATTCAAATAGACGCTTGCGCGCTCTTATGAATCGTCAAATTTTACATCAAAGATTATGTGTATAGGTTCGTAAGGTACCACCGGTTCGGAAAGCGGTTTCTGTTGAGAAGAGACCGGCAAGAAACTCAACAGTTGCTCTTTTTCAAAAATATCAGGGTACAATATAATATACAGGTATAATAGTCTTAAGCGTCTAAGTATAATTATATATTTACTTAATTGATTTCTGCCAAATCACCATGAGCACATGCTTATTCAAAAAAAAAACGTTTCGAAACTTCCGGAAATAAAAATAAAAGCTATAAATCAGCAAATATACTTTAAAACATGTAGAAAAGTACGAAAAGATTGTCGCCGCTGTGGGAATCGAACCCACGTCTTCGGCATTCGCGGCCTGACGCTCTAGCCACTGAGCCAAATGTTCAATCTTAAGTGCAGAGATTAGCACTATGAAAAACTTTAAAATAAATATACTTTAATTTATTACTATTACTTATTACTTATTATGATATGAACTTGCATCGGACTTATTTCACCATCGAGTTCCATCAGTGTGGCTCGACGTTGAGGGGACGATTACGCAAATCGTCCGTCTGTACAACCGACGGAGACTGATTTCGAATCAGATACCGGCCTCCGTAGATCTCAGACAGATACTGGAGCGGATACGATGCTATTAAGTTATTATATTGTTAATTCGCCCGCGCTCGGGAAAAACATCGGGGATCGTCCATTGTTTTAGGCCTACGTAACAAAAGAGCCTGAACTTGAAATTTATCGTTGCTCTATCGTTTAACTCATCGCGATGAATGTTCTCCGGTGGTTGCTTTTGTGATCGTTGTGATTGGTGTGGTATAAGTAGTGTAATAAGAAATTAATTTCTGGTAACTGTCGATAAAAATGCGACTTTGTCAGCATTTATTTAAATTTCCCTTAAATATGACAAGCCTAAGCTGAATTGAGACTACGATCGCTTCTTAATTATGCATCAATAATGACTATACTACATCGACATTTTCCCTAATATTCGTTGTCATTATAAAAGGCAATGGTATCACATTTTAGAATGGTATGAAACAAAAATTGTTGAAAGCCTTATAACGGTTGGAGTCGCGTTTAGGTATTAATGTATTATAGTAGCCACGTGAACATTTTAGTTTTTCTAACCTTGGCGGAGGTATAAAAGTTAATATTAAAAATCGTTCAATTATGTGGCTTGCTCTTCAGTCTCTGTAAATCTTACCGAGTTAAAGCAAAAGCTTACAGCAAGGTTCTCGGCTGCAATTACCCATTGCATATCCTAACACGACATACCATACCATACATACACGAAGTCCGTCATATAAATTCCAATGTTGTCTTTCACCTGTCATATGAAGCGAATCCCTAAGCATCACTTCATTCTCTTCACCAGCTCGGACGAAACGAACTTAATCACTGCTCCAAATGAAACGGCATGAGTGGAACATAGCGTCAGACGCCCGAGCTAGTGTAATGTAGCTCTAGTCGCTTCCTAGTCGACAGCGGTATTAGCCGTGTCTAATCGGGATGCGATGTTATCAGTTACCTGCTGGCCTCACGTAATTGTCGGTACATTCCTAAGCGGGTCCACGGCTACGGTTAGGCCTGCTTAAACATTAACGGGCCCTGTTGATTAGGATTGTCCACGCCTGCGAGACGTGGTTGGGGCTGATGAAACACCCAATGTTCTTAGTGCTGTGACAGTTATCGCTACGTAGTTGGAGATTAAAATGTTACATGAGGCCATAATGTGTTCACTGCGGAGCACGGAACCATATCGCAGTATTGGCGGTACGAAAATTGAAATCCAAATTTTAATGACCAACCAATCAACTAATTTTTTGGTCGTTTTACCGATTACATTTTAAACATATTGTTTTGTTTAATTATGATCAAAAAGGATGCAAATTATAAGAAAACAGCCCATGTCGGTACAAATCACTAACGCAAGGTTGAATATATTAATACAGATTGCTTTTCACTATTACAATGAAAAATTTACAGTAAATATTAGTGATCATTGCAAAGAAGATTAACAAACAGCAAGACCTCAGTAATCAACTCTATTCAATCTAAAGTAGACACTCAGAGAATAGTATCAGGACTTTTAACTTTGAAAAGTAATAAAAATACATTTAGAAAGCCATAGAATCATTTCTACTTAATACCCAACCGCTTCCACATAAAATACATACAAAAACCCATAGAAGTGAATACGCTAAAGACTGTCGTATCTTTAATCGACGCCGCACAAAAACCGTGCTCCGTAATAACCGATGGTTTGAACATCTTCCGTATGCAAGGCTGGCAATCAGATCGCGCTCGCCCCGGCCGATGCGGCTAATCGAGAAATAATAGCAAGAAAACGGCGATTCTTAGCGATCTAATAATCGAGGCGTCCCACAATGGCTGAGAATCGCAAATGCAGATGGCTCTGATAGGCGCGCACAATGCGTGGGACGCGTCTCGCGCTTTCCTTCTGGCTATTAGCTCTGCTCTTGTGCATTTCAACATGTGTATAGATTTCGATTTGCGTACAAACGCACAGAGTAAGAAGATAACATCAGATCTCTTTTCACCAGGCTTACAGGCCTAATTCGCGTCTTCCGTATCAATTCTGGGTATGTCGCCAATCTGGTCGGGAAATATTTGCCTATGGATTCCTCTGCCAACTGTCCCACTGACTTTGGCAAGATAAATATATCCGTTTCACTAAAAGTTCCGAATCATTGGTACGGAAGTCAGTACCTACAGGAAAATGAGGTGAAATATTTTCATTAAAGTACTATAATTCTTAAGCCATGGTTTACATGACAAACTTAATAGAATTTGTAAATGAACCAGTTCCGTTTGTCCAGTTGATTGGACCGCCAAAATCTGATAGTTCACGGTCATATCAAACTATTCCGATTAAAAAATACATCAATGTATGAATGGAAATCAAAAAATATCAAAAAAATTGCCCCAACTTAAACCTTATCGGTGTTTATCGAAGACAATAATATGTTGTCATTACAATCAAGTGGAATAGTAGTCAACTGGAATTATTGGCTATATTATCTCACCTGATCGCAATACCCGCCATATTGCGACATCCGCGTTATAAGTACAACGGTCATGTACAGCCGTCCGCCTATCGCCAGGCTGCAAAACGGTTCTAATTAAACACGCGGCGGACTGTACCGCGGGCGCCGACCGCCGCGCCGAATGATTTAGGGTTCCGCAAAAAGTCGAGGAATTGCCGCCACTTTCCCGGTAGCTGGGGTTAACGACGAACATCGCAATTCGCCGCTCAAATAATTAATGAATCTATCTCCACATTTCCGGCATCAAATTATTCATACGGGTCAAAAGCTAGCTTGTTTTCGCCGTTAGTGTCTTGTAGAACATTATTGCAAGCCCGAGTGGAAACATGACTTTGTTTCCGCTTAGTCTGAACTTGTCTTAGTTCTCGTAAGATTCATAATGAGTTCCTACTATTACCATTATTTAAAAAAAAAAGACTATTTATCTATTAAACTCACAACTCCCACTAATCGCCGTAACGCTCATATTAGACATAGTGAAAAATAGAAATAAAATATCATAAAAAGTAATGAGAAATTTTATATATATATTTTATTATTTTAAAGGAATAATGACGGTTGAAACTTACCAATAACATTTTTTGTATTTTAGGTTGAGGAAAGGCCTCAAATGTAAAGAAAACCCCTGTGTTTACCATAAACTTAAAACATGGATCGGCAGAACCCAAAATTTCAACTAATTAAATTAATAAAGAACTTTTAGGTTAAATATTAAAATAATTTAATATTCATAATTAAATTCTTTAATATTCCTAATACATCATTGAAAATGTATTTACATATACTGTTGAATTGATATATTTTCACAGATTGTATGTTACTTAATATTGTTTTAAACCTTAGACGGTTGAAACACTTACATCAAGTGAACCGCTTGCTAGCTTGCCAAATGTTCACATAAAAAAATCGTTATCCAAAGAAGTATTTATCTTACATACAATAATATATCTCCAGGCTACCTGAGGCTTCGAGATCCACCGTCAATTACGTAACGTCAGCGGCGTATTTAACGGTCAACGTTCCAAATATGATATTTGCGTCGGTCACTCCGTAAATCAGAGCGTTCAGCGCCGGTGTCGAACCGACTACCCGGGCGTTGAGTCTCGGGCCTGTTTTAATCTTCGCCCGCATTAGTCTTGTTGAAATAATAGCTGTTTACGCGCATCCTATAAATCCAGATGCCGGTAGCGGCGCATGACATAATGCCCCGAAACTATCCCGAATATGCGCGCCTTATTTATGTCTTCGGGTACTCGGGGGGCTCTTTGAAGCGTCTAACGTCAACGTTGTTTTTTAAACAAACATCCCCACCGTTATCCCACTAGAGGCGAATTTATTACGATAACATTTCGCCACACAAAGGACGCTACTTACGCGACTCATTAATATCCGATATCGCGGCTTAGCGTGGTAAACATCGGGCTTTCCGTTTCGTTATTAATCCGGCGAAAGCGTCGTTATGAAAACATTCGTAAAATTACAATCCTTCCTATCTCTTTCTCTAAATAACGTAAACACTGTATCGCGGTGATTTATCCCGAGGAAATATAAATCAACGTTCCGACTCGCGTGAGACATAATTTGGTGTTTCAGCTGCAGACAAATTGATCGAGTCGCATCACAATAATAAGAAGAAAACAAATGTTTGCAATGATACGAGGGTGCGTTTTTAGTTTGGAATTGCAGAATGGATGGCAATAATTAAAAAAAAGATATGTATTTCCTTTTCAACTTGTCTCTGTGAAGGAAGAATACATTTTCAGACCTTTTCAAACTAGCTGAAATTTTCTTTGATCAAAAAATGTTTTGATATTGTCTGAAAAAATGCGCCTAAATTGCGTCCCTAACTTGATCATCGCTGGTGTCTTCCCACGCAATACTTTTTATTTTTTGTGAGCAAGTAATCAGTGGGAACCAGGTTTGGACTATAAGGTGGTAAGATTTCAAATATCGAAACCAACCTTAAGATAAATAATTAGAACAATGACACAAATATTATAAAACGTTCATATATACACTTATCATGAGTCGATACGATCTGAAAGATCTCATCCCCCACGAACATATTTCGTGAACTTAAAAACACTATTCTTGTAATTGTCCATATTAGTAAAACGAATTATTAGAATTGAATTACCTCAAAGAAGTTTAAGCTTAAACAGTAAAGAATTAAGAATTAATTGTTTACTGTTTAAGCAACTTTTTACAACCTAGACTTTATAATCAGTCATTAAATTAATTAAGTCATTTAATTTTCATACCATAACTTCTTAGACATAATTGCTCAACCAATGTTACAACAGAATGTTGGTGGTGCACTTTTAACCAGATAACGTGCAAAGACAACAATACCGGGCAAACAGTTGTCCCCTGAGGGAACCGCAACAAACGGCCTAGGTATTAATTCTGAGCCCGTTACTCGCAGACGTAAACCGTTCGGCGTGAAGATCATGGCCAGATACGACGTAATGTTACACCGGCCAGATTTGCCTAGATCGCGATCAATACTAGTAGATCGATCTGAGGACGAGCGCAGCGGCGCGGTACTTCCTAGCATTGTTCCTCGCCTTTCCATAGACTAATCTACGGAACTCAACCTTCGCGTAAAGGGAAAAAGAATTAGTAAAATCAAGTTAGGATTCTATTGCATAGGGCTCTCTTTAAGCATACTTTAAACAGCTTAACCTTACTTCATCTACGACGGGGAGCGATAAACCAGAACTGCAGTCCTGTTTCTAATAAAAGAAATCAAATACGGATTTAGTATATTTAAATTTAACAACCACTCACTTGCCGAGATCCGAACGATTATTTATAATCACTCACACGTATTAACTAAATATAACAATGCGTTCATTCTAAAATTATGATCAGGTACCCCTACTAAAATGGTCCCTATTTCTGAAGATAGATTGACAGGAAATATTTGTTTATTCCTCCACCAAATCAGTATTGCGTAACTACCGTCTATAATACAAGAGAAAATCAGAAATCGTTTATATTCACATTAACGTCACACTTTAGTTTCACCATAAGCTACCCGAAATGAATGCCAACTGGCGTTTATGTTAAACAAAAATGTATTGTCACCTTTTCAAGAAACAATCGGGTGATTTCTGCTTTGACTACTATAAAAGTTTCCTTTATAAAATTGTTGATTTATGTAATTTCAACCTTAGCAGCATATCCATAAAGTTGTTTAGATATTTTTTTGGATGAAACATCGAGTTTGTCAACATTCAACTCGTGAATCACGTGATTTTAGTCTTTATTCGTTTCACATAGCAGAAGATTTTAAATATCGGATGCTTACGTTTCTTCCGATTCGAAAAATGCGTATGCGTACACCGTACTATTTGATATACTATTTTGAGCTTTAGCCCCTTTGCATCAAATAGCTTGTACATATTTCTGAACGGCAAACATATGGTGTTGACTTTGATGATAATGACGTCACGCTGAGTGATTGTGGTCGTATTAAAATGACATTACTAGTTGTACAGAACAGTTATGTTCATAATTCACGCCTTGAAAGCATGAACGCATATGAAACTTGAAATGGCATATGATTATTTTAGTGTAAAGTCAGTCAACTACTGTATTAATTCTTTGTTAGCATTTAGCATACTTCAATTATTATTTTTTTTATTATTCTTTTTTTTAGCAGTTGTCAATATAATAACTTTTGAATGTCGTTTCACCTGTAATTGAGATACCATTTAGTTGAAGATACTATGTAGGTACTTATTTATGTTTTAAGCTTGTTTTGATGTGTATCTTGTTGGTGAAGTAAATAAATAAATAAATAAATAAATAAATAAATAAATAAATATGATATCATTTCACGTATAAAACGTGTTAAACGATTGTATTTTAAAAAACCAATCGCTTATGTATTTACACATTAAATTAGTGAAAGATATTTTCATTGAGTTTATTTATATCGTTGAACAACGTACACGTAAAAATAAAATAGAAGTAATTTACATTATGGGTAACAAAAGCAAAAAGTAACAATAATTGACTATTGTCGTAAAACGTTAAGAATGCTGTTGCACATGACATAGTTTATTATAATTCGAGCACAATAAATTTTGGCTACTATATTATTTCTTTTATTTATTTAAATTCTATCTTCTCTTATAATAGGATTTGCCTTATATTTTAATCCAAACCCTTTTAAGCCGATTCCAAAATGTGGTATAAAAAAAACCTCCTTTAGCATACTCCAATGCAACGGTTTTGTGTATTTTATTAAACGATGAATTATCGCTTCAACGACAGCTGCTCGCATGTTTAAAATAGAATAAAATGCGTTAAAACCTCTAAGAACTGTCTCAATGAACAATACAATAATATTTCAATGAGTATTTTAAAAAATCACTTGCATATCGTGGCCGCACACTAGGCAAAATAGATTGATACAATGACTATAAAAATCGTCATTCGGAAATAATCTAAAAATTCCAACAGCGTCACATATCAATGTGGTCGAGACAAATTGATCGGATACAATGTTAATGAATCCCGATACGGAGTAATTGACACGGATTCCACGGTCCTTGGCATTTATCGATGGTATTACGGTGACGTGTGTCACCGATTTATTTCTATCGGTTCTCCGGCGCATCACTCCATTCACCTTTGCCCGGGCATCGGGGAGCGGCATTTGGCTGGTCAGTCCACGGGTGTCGAAACCGCAAGATTTATGTGCCGTATTGGCATCCGGATCAATCGGTACTGATCCCATTATTGGCTATATCAGATCGACTTTTTAGTTTATCTTTTAAAATAAGGTGTTTACCAGCTCTCTTCACGAAAGTGATTATCAATTCCCATGATCTTCTGCATCATTGATGCGTTTGCTGATGTGGGCTGAAACTTTAAATAGGAGGGAATCCCTTTATCATGGCATGCCAGATGAAACGAAAAATCTTTACTTTATACTGGTCTTCCAGATGGTGGTCGTGGTATTTCCACGGTATCGAACCGATTCGTAAAGAACAACGCTATTCTCGTTACCAGAACAAAAAGGTTGAAGTGTGACCATCACCAAAGCAGTAATCACCGAAGCTGAAATAGCCAATAATAAACAAATAAATAAATATTTTAGGACACATTTTTACACCTAGCCTAATCCTAAACAAAGCAATACTTGTACTATGGATAAACTGATAAACATACTTTGTTTTGTAAATAAATATATATTATACATATATAAACACCCAGACACTAGAAAAACACTATGTTCATCACACAATATTTTGACAGTAGTGGGGATCGAACCCATACCCTCTGACGGAGGTACACTATCCACTATGGCCATTCGGGTCGTAAAATTATTAGCTTGTCGTGCACTGGTACCACCCAATTTTCATATCGTCAAATCTGCAAATATTGGGATTCGAATCCACACCGACAATCGCGGTTCGCGGCCGAAACCAGCCGGGCCATCGCTGCCTGCAACTAAATTTATTGGTCGCATAAAGCCTAAAAATACGGCGGGATCAATGATGCGGGAACTATGTATCGCTGTGCCCTCGTGACTTATGCCCGCTGCCAAGACAGCTGCCCCGTTACCATCAATAACTGTCGCCCTGTCTATAAGATGGTCGGCCGCTGATGAACATTATATTAGCGGCGTAAAATCTAAAACGATCCCGACAGCGGACTACACTACTAGCCGGCCGATTCAAACGGTCGCACTTGCAAAGCATACTTCGGTACTGGACGTAATTTATTGCTTTAGTCGTCCATAAAATGCATAGGGTACCGTCGAAAGCGTTAGTATGATACCAATTCTAGCATAATTTTAAAACGCTCAACATTTTTAGGTATATGATGTTAGATATTCTAAATAGCCAAATAACTGTGTCATTGTTAGTATGGCCATTTTTATAAACTTTCTATATATAGGTCTAATGATACTATTTCTTTTATGTTAATGTGTTCAATAATTTGAAAAGAAAAGGCTTTCAGAACCACCATATGCAGTCATTTCACGACCTGATAATTTTTCAAAATTATTATAATAAAAAACAAAATTGTTTTTCCAATATCAGACCCTTGTAGTATTTGAGTAAAGTATGTTAGATTAGTCGAGCTTAGACTGAACCATTCTCGAGAGCGCTCATGGGCATCATCCTGTCCCCAACAGAAGCCAGCTACTTATTGGCACGGCCAGCTAGTCCACTTTCATTCATATCCGTCCAATCATCTCTGTCTCAAAATATGCCCTAAACAGTTTTCCAGCAATCTACTTCCTCGAACATTGGAATACGAGTAGAGTAGACCGGGTGACCCTAATTAAGCGCTGACCGCGCCAAAACTGTGTATTTCGACCAAATTCAAGGTCATCCGCATCGGAGATTTTTCCAGCGCGTCGTGATGAGCCGACATTCCGTTCCGAATTCGATTTTTCCCGCGCACCTTTGAGTTCCGAATCGGCGATGCCGCCGGCCGATGATGCATCGCGGCATCGGCGCGCTTGATTTGTGCGGGGACAGGTGCGCGACGCAAATACACCGCGCTTCGGTTTCGCGCGCGATTGGCACTTGACGCCGCTGCTCAAAGTTTGACGCGCCACGCCCGGCCGCCGCTGTGGAGGCGCAAATTGCCCGCCGCGATGGCTAATGTATCGCTGTTGGGACAGAGATTAATGGGGGGAGGCGGAAAATGGTGCATCCTGTACTACTTGACTACTACGTTCTGCGGTAGGGCCACGCAACAATTGCACGAATAGGCAGGGCCATCTGGGTACCACGACCTCACAGAAGACTGGCGGGAAGTAGGAGTGGTATACAACTACGTTTCCGGTGTAATAACTGGAGCCCTTTATTATGAGTTGACAACGCATCTGAAACCCTTCAGGATTTGAGACGTCTTTGGGCGGCCGTTCTCACTTACCACCACTTTCCGCCAACTCGCTACCTTTTCACAAAAATAACCTATCTATCTACATAGAGGTCTCCCGAAAGGACAGGTGGTGGTAACTCTAAATTAGAACGTTTCCACTATGCTAAATAGGTGAAACGAGGTATTAGTCGGTTTGTGTCCCCACTTAAAGTTGAAATGGATTTAAACACGAACTCAAGATCGAAGAGGTTTCTTTTATCACCTCAAAAAGGATAGTTGAATTCGTTTGTAGTTAATAGACTTTCACTGCGTGCGTTTTCATTGATGATTTTTAATTATGGCTCCATCACAACTAACCAATGATTGGCATCTTAAGAATATAACTTCTTAATTGGTCCTATAAAATAACCATTGCTTCTTTAAAATCAATAATAGCAAAAGAAATATCATCAGCGAATATGAATTATGAAAAAGAGAATATGAATACAAAAAACGTCACTCTTTGCACTGATTAACAAAGAGTATTAAATGATTATTGCAGTAGATCGTTAAATTTATTTAAAATCGACCCAACACCCTGGCTGGTTCTAGAATTTATGCGTTTCACACTTATGGTCGGCTCAGCTGTTTTTGCGCTGCAATTGAGGGGCGTTATAACGAAGCATTAACCTTCATTACATCCAAGCATTTTAATTTCCTCCCTGCAAATTATACAGGTTATAATTATGCTCTTAGCATTGCATTACTCACTACTGTCCGTCCACACGCTATCCACGGCCACTGGTAAATCGATCGTGTAGAAACAATCATCGGCTAGAGAAAACTCTGGTGATTTCCTTAAAGTTTTAGAAACACTAATCATAAGTTCGTTCGCGTCGATAAATCTATGAAAATGAACACCGGCTTAATGTCGCGGGAATGCTTTCATGATCTGATTCCAGCAGGGTGGCATTTGGATGGCATTGGCATTTTAACTTAAACGTTCAAAACTGTTTCTTGTACAATAATTTAATATTAACTATGATCATATCAAAAGGTGACAATAAATTTAGAATGATGTTTAGAAACTATTCACCAAGGTTTATTTAAAAAGATAATAAAAATTTATTATAAATTAACTCTGTAAGACTTATGTCTTGCAGTAGACTAAACAGACTTCATTCCTCAGATATATTTGGAATGTTGATTCACTAACAGTGAAATTCACACTTACTAAAAAAATGTTTACTTTATTTAAAACAGCTACCTTTATATTTCCTATACTAGAGTATTTTCTCTTCATAAGTTTATAGGAATTAAACTTTGCAAATCAAAAGGTAAAAAGGTGCTCATTCAGTAACTATTTTGATTCTGTTCACCGAATCCGTCCCGCGGACTCATAGCTAACGCGACCGTCACAGATCGAAGTGCAAATGTACACGTTGCTAAATTTAAAGCGACCGCTGGAGAGGAGTTGAAAACACATCGATGCAAGACGAATTAATCAACATTTCTCCCTCTATTTTGCCGTCTCATTGTTGTCTTGCGTTAATTGTTGTAAATTCAAGAGAACTCTCGATTGCAATTAAACAGTATCAGTGTAAGTCAACATAGTTGAGATTATTCCAATCGTTTGGATGCATTTACGATTTTACTCTCGTATTGATGTTATAATTTTGTTAAATTCAACTACTCTCTATTCATCAGATACTCTCTTTCATAAAAATCAGAATAGAGCGTTTTTAAGTCTTTATAACAGTTCCAGAACCTTCTGACTATGCACAAGGCATAGCAACTTCCATTGTAATTGCCTATTGCAATGTGGAAGAATGAATTTAGGACCAAAACATTTGGAAATGACTTTTTCTATGTACTTGCATATCCCACACCTGCTGAATTCATTGTCATTGAATGCTAAAACTGAAACAAATTATATGGACAGTATTCCTAGATTATCGCTAGTTAACATATAAAAAATATATTAAAAAGGAATTTATAATTTTATCTCAGAGATTTTTGTCAGTCTGAGCAGACCTATTTAATGGAACCACGCGATAGTAGATTTTGCTGTTCATGAGTGCTTGAAAGAAGACTAAATTCTATACAAATAATTTCCCTTCAGTTTTGTTAGCATGCTCTCGATCAAGTGGGACTTTTAGCATACACGATTTTAATTCCGGTATGGATAGCCGGAATTCCTAATTTCCATTTTAAATGCAAACGCGACATGTCCCTGTGGGAAATGTCCCGGGACGGACTCAGGTACAAATGAGCAGTCACTATTTTTTTATAAAGAACTCGCCAACGCTTGACCCTTTTCTCATTTCGATGGCAGCAGCTATTCAGCCTTTGATACATACACGCTTCAAACTGAAGATTTTTTAAAGTAATGAGTATCAATCGAGCTACGGCTCATCGAAAGTTTGATTACAACCACCTATGAACTTAAGAGTGTATGGGAGCGTTGGAATGCATTGGTGACGTTTCAGAAAACAATAGATTCTATTTCTAATACAACAGTCAGTTGGCTTTTACTGAACCAGTGTTTCTGCCAACTTTGATTATGATCAAAATGATGCACAACTATTTGTGGTGGGACTCCACCCGACAGGAGATACTGTTGAGTGACCACCCAACAGTATCTGCTGTTGCACGAATGGGCAGGCTCGTTCGGGGAAGAACCACAGCTTCACAGAAGGCCGACATGATGTGGCAGTATTACTTAAAGGATTAGCAATGCGTCTGCGAACCAATGAGTGTTGCAGATTTCTATGAATGGGGGTAATTACTCGGCTGCAGGTGCACCTCCTCATCCTTGCCACCTTCACAAAAACTGTCAGGTGGTGTGATCTTCAAGCGCTAGTTAGTTCGTGACAAAAACCTATCACTCTTTTAACATAAGAAAATATCTCAAGCGTGTGCTATATACTCTGGGTATAAATATTTCTTCAATTTCCGTTTCAAACGTTACTAATAATGAGTCCCGTCAAGTCAGACAAAGATAGCGTTTTTATTTTCAATTTCGTAACATTATTTCTAAAAAACATTTCGATGTCAAATATTCAAACGACTTTTCTTCGAGCAGTGACCTATCAAACTATCAAAAGATATTGAGGTGTAATTAAGGTGATTGTATAGAAATATAATCAATTTAATTACACTTTGTATATTATAGCAAAAGCAGAAGAAAACCAATTCTCATTTTCCGTGCGAAGTGATTTCTCTCCGCGTGAAAAAGTACACATTATACGGAACGTGTACCTAAATTATTTTATAGTGCCCCCATAATACATACTTACGTAGCATGCTAGTCTAGGATACCTAGGGATAGATCGCCGGGCGTGTCCCACCCTCAACCCCCTGCTGTCGCCTTCAGATAGATTTTTCTTTTTTGCCCGGCACTACGTACCCGATATTAAAGACTAGTGGCTGCATGTTGCGTTGCTTGATACAATTATAATAAACCTTTTTGCATTATTGAAAAAATTAAAAATGTTTTACTTTACTTATTCCCTAATCTGAACACTTCCGTACATATAGATTCTTACGCATTTAGAGCTAGATTCACGGCTAGATTTTATATTCAGGATTTTTTTAAACTGAATACGATTTTATAGACAAAAAAATATTCCAAGACACTGAAATAAAAAATCAACACAGCCTGCAATATATAGCCTTGTGAAAAAGAACTAAACTTTACCTAACTACAAAAAATTTTATTATCTATAATGTGCTTGCTATAACTCAATAAATTCAATTCCATATGTTGAAAATTTTGGCCCAAAGACGACTGAAAAGCGAGGCGTATGCCTTTGATATGTAGTGCTAACTACTGCTAGTGATATTGCAGATCCAAATGATAGCATAAAGAACCAACTCCAGGAGGATCTAAAGATTGTCCACAATATACTTGAATAATATGGGCACATACCACGAATACCGACTGATAGTTTAAACAGAATGGAAAGATGGACGGCCATCAACCCAGAACTCGAAACCAAAAACGAAAGTCCGGTCAGATCCCTGAATATCTTGAAACAAAAGCCATTTAAGAAGTTAAAAAGGAACTGATAAGTAGTAAACACCAAGAAAATCAGCAATGAGCTTAGGACTTAAAGGGGAGAAGCATTAAATTCCAAATTGTGATAGGATGAGGTTGAGATTAGCAAGCTGAAGTGGCGATGAGCTGGCCATATAGCTCGTAGAACCGATAACCGTTGGGGAAGAAAGGTTCTCGAGTGGCAGCCTCGTACTGGCCATCGCAGTGTAGGACGACCCCCCACTAGATGGAGTGACGACCTGTGCAAATGTGCGGCAAGTCGATGGATGCAGGTGGCTCAGGATCGTACTTCGTGGCAGTCTGTGGGGTCTGTGGCCTATGCTCAGCAGTGGACTCAAACAGGCTGAAATGATGATGATGACGAGGTTGAGATTACATATCGTTTAATTTTAGTCTGAAGAGATTTGAAAACAATTAAGTGTGCACTATGAAGATTAAACCAAACCTTAGATATTGTGCCTTCTTTATATCAAACTATTCTCGCTGTGCAACACATTTGTAACAACTCCGTTATTAATGATAATTTTTCTGATATTTCTGCAAGGTGTGCTTTTATTGAGCAAAATATGTTGAGCCATCTAATGTATAGATGACTCGTTTTGTGTTGGGCTGAACTTAAAATTTAACATGCGATCGATAATAGCTATTATCTTCGCGGAAAAGTATCGAAAGCACCTCCTCTTGAACTTATGGACTACTAATGTAAAACATTTGTATGATAATCTTTGTCTTCTTATGAAAAAGCAATCCAAGCATCTAATATATTGACAAAGAGCTAACTAACTAGAATAGCCCTTAGTAAATAACTAATAGGATAAGAAACAAACGCTACATTGAAAATGAAAGACATTCACAGACAACACTCAGAAATGTACACATTTTATAAACCAAGCCTTTATGCCTAGTATTGACATACAAGGGTGAAATTTTTTTGTCTATTGCCCGCTTTCATCTAAAAAGATATAAAGAAAACTTGATTCATCTATTGGTGCGGCGGCTTCCCCACAAACTGCTGCGTGGCCTTACCACAGTGTTACAGTATCCATAAACTCTCCTGTTGCCGCCATATCCTACTAATTTGAATATTCCCGCATTAAGATGTCAATTACATTGACAAATCATACTTCCTTTAAATCCTTCACTCATTCGTTCGCAACCGGCACTGTCGCCGTTCAAATCGCACGCACGGTGGACAATTATATAGTGTAATCGCTCGCCTTTAAGACCGCATCAACGCTTCTTCTACTTCTATTATTAACTATATAAATCACGGCCGTGAATGTATAAATCTGTGTAACTGTGTATGACTTATAATCCGAGTGCCTTGCTGACTGAAGCCGATAGAAGATTCGTGCTCCATGATTCGTCCGCCGGTTGCCAATTAAATCCTAACTAATCCCGCATATACAGTCCACTTTTATCGAAATAAACCTAATTCCGCACCACTTCCCCAATCAAGTGAACACCTGTGCAAGTGTGCGGGAAGTCGATGGATGCAGATGGATCAGGATCCTGGTTCGTGGCGGTCTGTGGAGAGGCCTAAAAGGCTGAATTGATGATGATGATGAAGCCTCAATATACGAAGTGTTTCTTATAACACACAGAAAGACACGCGGACACTTTCAAAGCTATACATCTCCCGGGGAGCGGCGTCGGACGGTGCGATATTGCTTCGTAGTTGGATTTCCAGTTAACTTTGCAGTTGAAATTGAAATTCCATTAAGTAGATTGCTTTTTAGAGTGTCGCCTCCACGCCCGGGATTTAATATCGGATAGTTATGCAGTATTATTGGTCATTATAACTTTAGCATGACAGGGTGCTTCGTTGAATTTTCAACGCATCCCCGGATATTCTGGAACTGAATTTGAGAATTTACGTTAATATATTAAGTGCTAAGGACAACGGAATTGTAGATTTTTATATATGCCCAAAGCGAACAAGACGACTTTAAAGTTCTCTAAGATATATTTCAGAGCTATAATTGTATTACATTTTATGTGCAATACTATTATATACGAAACATACGTATACAATTTTTCAGTAATATTTCATCCATAATCTTATTTGAGCTAATTTTGTAATCCTTTTCCTTTATTGAAAATTACGACGTTCATAGGGATGTGTATGTCCTTTTATATTTCACTGCTTTCAGTAACATGTTTAAGTTAGTAGGTTACCGGACAAATCACCATATTTTGATCACGGCCTGCTAGTTTTACTGTCATAATGAGATAAGTCATCATCATGCTTGAAACTTGTTTTGTGAAACGCTCTAACTGTTGACAATACAATTAACTCTTGTATTAAATCTCTCGGTAGTAGAGTTTTTTGACAAGTATAATGCTTCTGTATTGAATAAAGATATTGACTTTGACTTTGACTTTGTTTCGGGCAATTCAATTCATTTTCATCATATACGTGAAAAACCATGGAAGAATCATTGGTATAATAACACTAGTATTCACTTTAGTGGTAAAATGGATAATATGCACGAGGCAACTTGTTCATTAGTCCAGCAAAGAATCCATCTAAATTTCAAATTTCGTTAAAAATCCCTTTTCGTGAAATGAGAACAAGCACATTTTCAACTATAACATTTGTAATATGTAACGTAGAACAGAAAAATGTAATCCATACGAATAACAAGCGTATTTAGATTCGATATTTGGCGTTAACAAAATCGAAACGATATAAAGAGCATGTATAAAGAGACGGCGAACGCAGACCGTACCAATCGTACGCCTCATCGGTGTCACGTCGCACGTAGAAGCGTTATGTACATCGGAAAAAACGGCCGAGGAAAATCTACGTGACGTGACGCGCGACCAATAGCCAATCGCGGATCGAACCTTCGTTTTCCGAACGGCAAATGCGATAGAGCCGCGGCGCGGCGCACTACGACCCGTGCGCGGTGAGCGCAGCGGCGAACGCGGGAGCGATCAGGGGTCAGGCTAAACTGGCCGATGCGTATCGAGAGCATACGGGGCCACCGGATTGGCCGATCGATTCCACGCCATTGGGCACCACGGCGCACACTCGAACCGATAGCCGCGGCTATCGACGTTTTACGTACGTGTACGATCCGAAACCGCCTTCGATAGGTATTTTACGGTGTGCCGAATAGGTATTCGGCGGAAACGCGCCGAGCGCGCCTGCCGGGAAAGTGACGTTTCTCCTTTTTTTTAATTTTACTTTTTTAATAATGACACCTACAATTTATTTCCAGCCAGTTTTATATTTTTATAATTATTTCTTCGATGATACAAGGAATAATCACTCTTTAATTTCGGACAACACCAAATTATTTTCGATTAATTTTAATCCACATTTTTTAAACGATAAATTCGAATGCGTAACTCTTAAAAATTCACGGGTGCGCGCCAGAAAGAAATTTGATTTAACGTTTAGCGTTAAAAAATAATCTAGCACGTTTCTTGTACCGAGCGACTCCATTAGTCGGCACCCGTTCGCGCGGCAAGATTTAACATGAAATAAAAATGACACATAAAAATATTACAGCACAACGAAAATAATTATAATAATGGGAACGCCATATCCCTTTCAGCGGGCTTTTAATAAATTAAAATGAATCTCGATTCATGCGTCCAGTTGCCAGACACAAAAAAATATCTCGCACAGATAAAAAATCCCGCTTGAATCAAGCGAACATTCTCATCAACACTCCGGCTATTAATATGAAAAAAAAAAACGCGCAATCCGGAGTTCACTGTTCACTACCTAACTAATATTTAACAAACTCCAGATAAGGCAAATATATGCGCTTTTCCGTGTACTTATTTAAAATGGAAAAATATTTTCCCTACGTCGGGCAGGCGGGCCACGTTAAAATGGATGGATCTGCAAATTTAATTTACGATGTATTTAACTATTACGCTTTTAGCACTAGCTTTATGCGTAGTGCGTTCATAGAAGTAACTAGATGTGTTGAATCATAGTTAGGGTGGAAATTAATTTTTTTATGATTGAAACACACTTTTTGTCGTAATATTGACTGAAACAATAACACCAACCAATCAAGCGACGTATACAAATATTAAAACGACATTTCGGTACTTAATTGATGTATTAAACTTAATGATTGGTACGCATATCTACTATTCGCTAGCAATGATTTTATTGTTATGCCATATTTTGAGAGTCATTTTAAGTCTCTTTCACATGCACCAGTCTTCTCACAATACGATTGATATTACGATGACATTTTTCAGTATATTACGTTATTATAAGGGGAGGTACTTCTTGCAATAGCTAATATAAATCTTATATATTGTTTGCACCCACATTAAAATCAGGTCACATAGGTCATATTTTTACGGGACAATATACAAATAAAATAACTTTATTGTAGAAGCCTACACATATTTGGGCACTACAGGACTAGGGTATAATGAATAATACAGATCGCTCCACAGCAGATTGGCGAACGTCTCCAAAATCTCTAAATATTTCAATTACTGATGAAAGTTTCCTCACAATATTTTCCTCATCGCCAGCCAATGTTGTAAGTCGGCGCTTCAATTGCACCGAACAAGTCTATTGGTGCCCGAAGTTAAAACCAGGTTACACCACCACACTAAGCAATAAACGAACGAGCTGCTACAACCTTACGTGTAACGTCACTTGGAAACAGTCTTGTGAACGGTCTGATTCGGAACAATCTAGTATCCGTCACACAAATAATTGATCCGGTTGAGATTCAAACATACATTTTTTGTGGTAGGGCCTCGGCTGTTGCACGAATGGGCAGGCCGGGGTAAGTACAACGACCTCACACTTTCGTCTGGTGAGTGAGGTGGCTGGAGCCCGATTTTCAAAAAGGTTGTCAACGCATCTGCAACCCTCGTGTGTAGCAGATGTCCATGGGCGGCGGTATTCACTAACATCAGGTGAACAGTCTGCTCGCTTGGCAACTTGTCACATAAAAAGAGACAGATGACCTCTGTCGAGCATTTTCATCACTCTTAATTTCAAATTTAACTGCAAATTTTCAGTAGTACACCTCTGCCGTCGGCGCGAGTCGCCGTCCGTTACGCTGATACTCGCCATTGGATGTTTTAGGCATTACGGGCCGTTGCATGCGACTTCATCGAGAAAATGACGCGCTGGAAATTTTGATACGGAACCCGAAAATGCACTATTACAAAATCGAATATAGATTACAAAAGCCAATTTTCGAATATGGATTTCGAAATGACAAAAGCTGAAAAATCAAAAAGCAGGACATGACGATAATTTTCTAGTCGAATATGGAATATGTTTCTCGAAATTTGAAAATTAAAAAAAATTATAACGTGATCGCAAAAAGCAGTAAAGAAAATATCCTGGCAAAATTGAGCGTTTAGAATTAATTAAGTTCAAACATTCATTTGCAATGTAACACTGAAATAATTTCCTTTGTTATTGCTTCCCTTATCACTGTGTTCATTCATATTATTTGTATATAATAATATTAATTTTCCGAACTCTATATAATAACCGAACTGTATATAATTTCCGATTTATATGTAATAATATTAATTTTCCGAACAGTAATTAGCCACGAGTATTATTTACTACTTTCACAACTGATCAATAAAAAAGGATCAAATCCAACTGCTGCCGTGAATCTCGAAGGAATCCAATACTCACAATAATTAGGCACCAGAAGATAAAACAATGATGAAACACACTTATTGCTGCAGTAATAACAATACAGATCATTTATATTTTCAATTAAGGTAAAGTTACAATACGGGAATATGGACTACGCAGTAGCTTCCATAGTAGACAGTGCCAGTGTAGTATACTTGAGGTCATTGGTCTTTTAAACGGTTGTCGCACTTACCTGGACAACTAACGTTTCTCGATTCCCTAATTCATGGGTCGAATCCTCCCTACAGAAGGTTTTAACGGTGGTAGGGCCACGCAACAGTCTCCGCTGTTGCACGAATGGGCAGGTCCGTCTGGGTAAGTACTACGATCTCCCAGAAGGCCGGCGTGAAGTGAAAGTGTTCTACTTCTGCGTTTCGTCTGGTGAGTGAGGTAGCTGGGGCCCACTGTATTAAAAGGTGGCAACGCATCTGCAACCATACAGGTGTTTTAAATGTCCATGGGCGGCCACTTGCCACCTTCTCACATAATAAAGAAGAATTAGGCTTTACTGTACCAAAGAGAAACCAATTTCAGTTTTATCATACTTGATTAAGAGCTACCATTGCTGGAACAGTCTGATTACTAGGCCAAGCGGCCAGAGAACTAACACGTGCAAAACATAAATTTCCAGATATCACAACCCGAGGTTCGTATATGACGTTCCGCAGTGGAATACGCTCAATGTAGCTACTTTGTTGTTTCTACTCGATTCTTGTGAAATATGCTTTTTGTAGTGATGACCCTTGACAGGTATCGATGGATAAGACCATTCGATATTAAGATAACACTCGACTGCCGAAGGAGAGTAAATGCTTTACGGCTTCAGATATTTATATATATATATATATATATATATATATATATATATATTTATATCTGATTCTTCGGTACACTCTTTTGTGTAAACCGTTTGACGGATTTCAACACAATAAGAAGTCATTAGATTCATCTTATCTGCTATCCGGCTCTATTACAATATACAGAACAAGTAATTTTTTTTAATAAACCACATCACCACATTTACATAAAAAAATAACAATAAACCATTCTCTTTACGTTTTCTGTTTCATTTTAGGTGTAACCTGATGTGTTTTCGGAGTACAAGGTCCATTGCCAATTAATATGGGACCACATGGGAGCTAAACCGAGCCCTATGTAAAAATATTTTTTAAATAGGTTCATTGATGAGGGAGTTCTTAAGTAACAAACATTAAAAAAATATACAAGTGAATTGGGAACCACCTTTTTTGTATTCGGTTGAAAAACGTGTACGGCGATAAAGTTTTCGCTTCGCCAGGCATGCTAGCAGATAATTTTCCTAGTATTCTGCAGTGATTGGAAATGTCGATATCACGACGACCCATCACTACGGCTGCACCGATATGATATTCCGAAATAAATAGAGATGCGCCGCGAAAATTCCCAGCAGACCCTCGACTTGCGATTTTTTACACAAATTAGTTCCGCCCCGCTCTGATACTTCCCACTCGAATGCTGGCACACTACAATTTTTACGGTCCGCGAAAAACAGCCAATTAAAAGCGTCGTAGACCTACTTTAAGCGGACTAATCAGACGTGACTAGATTAGTATCGTTAATTATGTCCATTCTACAAATTTTAATGTTCGATCTAAGTACACAGCGGTATAAAAAATTAAATTTCATATAGCAATTGCGACATCCCACACGCCAATTATCGTTTTAAAACGATATTTTGAGATGTTTGTCCGCTGTAAAGGACATAACGGCGGATAACTAAGGATTGATGCGCCAAGTATTACTTAAAATGCGAAATTACAATGTTCAAATATATATATACGTTCAAATTTTCGTCGGTATGGGAATCAACTGTTTAACTCAGTGGTTAAAGCGTCTGGGCGCGAATACGACCCAGTATTCTTCAGACTTCACTATATGACCCAGAATTCTTCAGACTTAACACGTACCGTCACATAACCTATCCAACATTCATTGATATGTAATCTGATTACAGTTTATTCCTATTCTAATAATCTAGTAAATAATCGTAATCTAGTGTAAAAACAGTTGCTTAGCTCCAGAGCTAAGCACCTGTTTTTACACAAGATGCCAACCAGGGAACCACGAGAATTCAGATGACATTTTCTTGTGTTAAAAGTTGACAAACGAGCAGGCGTTTGACCTGATATTAGGCGATTGCAGATGAGTTGTAAACATTAATAAAGTGGACCCCGGCTACCTCACTAACTAATGCTACCACTTCACGCTGATCTACTGTAAGATCGTGGTATTTCTCCGGACGAGCCTGCCCATTCCTGCAACAGCTGCTTCGTGATGGTACATTTAAAAATCTAAACCAAGAGGCAAGTAAGATAATCATCAGCGAGCTTCATATAGTTTGACCGCACACATTGGTCTCCATCTATTCACGATGGTCTCTGTGGCGCAGTTACCAGGGTATTGGCTTCGGCGCCGGAACTCGTGGGTTCGATTCCAACGAGACAACTATTTTGTGTGACGCACAGACAATCATTTCGGCTCTGGATGTTTATCCACGTGTAATTTATGAACGTAAAACGTCCTCACAACACAGGACAATGTTATCCTACAGTAAGGGTCCAATGTCTCCGAAGGGAAGACTACGGTAGATGTTCTAGGTCGAAGTGGTCCTTAGGAATTTATTCCCAACCCCTTTCGCTCAAAATAAAAATGTTACGTGTGTCCATTGGTGCTTAGCTATCTGTACCGCTAACTGCTCCAAAAACAATGTTTTTTTTATGTGAGAAAGTGGCAAAGGAGCTGGCGGTTCACCTGATGTTAAGTGATCACCGCCTGCCAATGGACATTTGCAACACCCGTAGTGTTGCAGATGCGTTGCCACCTTTTATTAAAGTGGGCCCCGGCTAGTGTAATGGAAAATACGTAGAAGAAGGTGCACGTTTCGAGTTGCAATCGAGTTCCCGTAGTTAAGCTTCAGACCGGCGTAAATTCAGATATTTTTATAGAGTTCATAAAGAACGCTCGGGAGCCCGCCGCGCCGCCGCACTTTGATTTTATTTAAAAAGGTGTGGATAAGTCCCCGTTAGAGGATATTGAAAAATTATGAAACGAGAAACTTGTTCCCTCGTGTAAAGTTAAACAGCGCTGCGCTAGAGAGAGACAGATGGTGGGGGTGAGTAGAGAATGTTCCGTGCTAAGTTTTTGTACGGATGTAATGTCAAGTCGAAAAACTATTTAAGAAATTACGTCAGCACATCAGAAAGATTTTTTCTACTTTTAATTGTTTTGTATAATGAAAAAAGTTAACTACAATAGCAGTACAAACTCCAATTTCTATTACGTAATAAGTATAGACGCGTCATGTCCACTTCGAATCACTTAGGGTCTATGGGATAAACCAATACTGATTACTTGTTACCAATTGAATTATATTTTGTGTAAGATTCCAAACGAGCTGGCGATACACCAGATGTTAAGTGATAACCGCCCATGGACATTTGCAACACCCGTAGCTTGCAGATGCGTTGCCACCTTTTAACAGTACGCCCCGGCTACCTCAGTCACCGAAGCGCAGATGTAGCAGGTTTTCCGTGAGGTCGTAATAATTTTGCGAAGCAGCGAAGACTGTTGCGTGGCTCAACGACAGCTATCATAATAGACTGTGTAAGACACATTGACCCCGTCGCGAAATAAGAACGACCATCGTCCGGAACATGGGAGGCAAGGGGCCGTCGTTAACGCGAGGCGAGCAGAAGACGCGCTAAATAACCCCTTTTGATAACGCGCCGGCGGCTGCGGGCGAATACGTTGCATTTTAACAAGTTTAAAATACTTTATGCATAGACATTACGCGGAGCTTCCCGCGCGCCGTGGAAATTTCGCCCGATGTATAACACCCGCCCGCCGGCAGCCAATGGCGTTGGCCAATTTGAATATAGAACGCGCACCCGGAATTCATAACGGACGCGGCGCGGGCGAGTCGAATGCGCCATTTTGTTGCGAAGCTTTAATATCCGAACGTCGGGCTTTAATAAATTGAACGCTCGCTGCGACTATTGAAATGCATCTTATGCGGCCCTGGTACATGGACTCGAGTTCTCGACCCCTTCTACCCAGACTTGGTGGCTAAATATGGATATGATACGTACACCTCTTAAGGTAATGTAAGGCGTACTTCAGTGTAGGTTATCAAAGGTTTTGCGAATAATTTTTTTTTTTTTATTATTTTTAAAAAACATTGCCCTTACTCATTAATCATTATCCTGTGTTGTAGAGACGTTTTACAAACATAAATTTCGCGCGGACAAACACCCAGATGCGAAGCACCTATCCCACAAATAGTTGTCACGTGTGGGAATCGAATCCACGACCCCCGACGTCGAAGCCAATACCTTGGCAACTGCGCCACGGAGTCATCTTCAATTGCCTTCTTATGTAATTCTGCTTGCTTAGTACTTAAACTCTTGGCATATCGAAATTTTATTGATGAAATGAAATCAACGAAGCCTAATTAATATGTAAGTAAATACTTAAAATAAATATATAAATAAATCTTTCCATTCATACGAGATAGACTTTATTGCTTAACAGGGCTCTGTTCAAGACATCCTAAAGATGGATATAGATTTTTTCTAAATAACCAGAATAAAAATTCAGGCTTCAATCACATACATTTTACCAAAATCCAATTTTATTTTTCTATTTTGGGAGAGAGCTAGGTATCTAAGTAATCTAGGTATTTAAAGTATCATTTTTTAAGAATAGAGCATAGATAGAGCAAGTTATTACTTGCAAGTTTACAAGTTATTGCTATTATGTCGGTTTATTTCACATACTCGCGCACAAATCGCACAGAGTTAGATAGCTACTTTAAGGCCCATTAAAATTACATATCTTACAGCATTATATTATATTGTACATAATATATAATTTAGTTCAAAAATCTAAAACCTTTGCATTCACGAATTTTTTTTCAATTGTGAATAAAACAATCCGTTTCCACAGCTGCCTTTAAGTGTCTATTCATATTAAGCGCGGATTCCACGCCATTCCTCAAACATTTGCTCTCTGGCACGAAGAATATCGCAATAATATTATAACAAAAGTTTGTGAAAGAGTGTTTATTGAGGTAATATGTGGTGTTCATCTGCTAAGGGGTGAAATGCATATTGCACCCTTTAGTAGAAATTTTGTGTGCATACACAAAATTTAATGAAAATCAGTCGAGCCGTTTCGGAGGAGTTCAATTACAAACACCGTGACACGAGAATTTTATATCTTAGATTTCATCATTATTTTGTTAATTTTAAGTTTCATATGGAAATGTTGTGCATACCTTTAAGTTAAATACATATATAGTATAATTCTGTAGCTTATTGTAAATCTTTCTTAGTATTGTTCTGTATGTATTTACTTGGTAAGCCTATATAAATAAAATAAAACAAAATAAAAAAATAAGGGTTTAAATTTTATTAAATTTAATTTTAACTCTACACGCTTTAAGATTTGAAACACTTTTTAGTATGTAATAGATAACTCCTGAATGTCGAAAACATCCAAGCAAGTGAAGACTCGAATAAAAGCTAGTGCAGAATTCGCTGCATGCTCTCAAAAACCGCAGATGTTCGATCTAACTAACGGCCATAGCATAAATACACTAAACCGTCCGAGGCGTAACTTCATACTCGTATATTGCCCCGTTAATTAAATGGAGCAGGCCGATGCTTCTGCTTTAAGAATGCATTCAGGGTATCATAAATGATACCCGGTCTCTGTCTGTTCCACTAAGGTGAATTTTAATAATGAAAATTGTGATAATGTATGATAGAAATCTCAAATTAGAAAAGTGAAAATGTCCCTAAAATTGCACGCCTTTAGTCCGCTACATATTTTTGTTAGTTGGTATTGTTCAAGTGAAAAGTGTTTCAAGACACTTAAGTCCTAATGTTATGGTTGATCTTATGAGATAATGTTCTCGTAGTAGTATATTTATATGTGCAAAACGACCACATACATCCAGAACAACTATACGTAATCCACTTCCGGTGCGATAACCGAATTTTTGACAAGCAGCACTGCATTCTGCCACCATTATAATTATCAATACATACGTAAATAAAACACAAAAAGTAAGTGTACGTTACAATAAATACCTGGTACCTTCTTGAAAACTGTAAGTACGTTAGACATTTTTCACATATAAACCATAGTTAAACCCTCGATAAAATCGAGCAGCAAAAGGTCGGCAGCTTTAAAAGAAGACAAATAACTTATAAAACTTAGCGAGGTTCTTAACCAAGATTCAGATCTGAGCAAAGGTCAGAAACTTAGCCGAGTTAGCCGGCGGCTCCGCCAATAGGGGACGTAACTAATAATGCAGCAGCCACTCGCAACAGATCGCAATACGTTGCACCTGGCCGGACGGTTGAAACGGTGAAGTGGGCTCTTGTCACCCACCACCCACCACCCACCCCCACCGGGGGCAGGCGATATCAACTCCGGCGAGGAGCGTGTGAAACGATTTTTAAGAATATATTTTATTATGTAGCGGGAATGCTTCGCGTGAATTTCTCACGTTTGTACCACTCCAGGGCCGCCGAGCCAGGAGTTATGTTGCTCAGCGGAGTTCGAGATTGAGCTGCCGTACGCTTTCGTTGGTTCTCGATGTCAACGTGATACTGAAAAATTGTAAGAAAGGAGATTGATTAAAAAATCACCGAAAATGATTGTGACGACATTTTGGACACAACTTGTACAAAGATTATTTACACAAAATACAATATAAAATTGGGCACTAAAACATAACAACTTTCTCTGTCGACCCTGAACAGATTACAGAGTTGAAGAAATTCACACATCGTTTCTACAACAGAACAAAACTAGAGCTGCACAGATGTTGACCAGCAGATCGCGGCTGAGGAGACAAGTTGGGGATATTTTTTTTTAAATTATACGATTCAAACAATGTCGACGGAGGGAAAAAAACTTAAAGCCCGCTGGAAGCCCGGACCGGTTGCTGGGATCATAAGGCATTTTTCCGAACACACACGTTCCTCCAACACCCACCCCCCACCACCTACGCTAACACCCCAGCGATCTGGGCGCTCGAAATCGCAGAGTAATTCGATGGGAGTCTGCAGAGGCAAGCGTGAACATGATGGTGGAATCTGAAACTATCTATTTATATACTTATATTAACATTTATCGTTAAATACAAAATTTTTGCGGTGAAGGAAAACACCGTGAGGAAAGGGGGAGCATATTTTCGAAATAATAATAAAAAAATATATATATTTCTAAATTATGGAGTCGACCAATCCGCAGTTGGGCCGCGTGATGGACTATGCCCTGAACCCACTGTACAGTGGAGGTCTTTGCCCCGCAGTGGGACATGTATAGGCTGTTACTTCGTTACTTTACAACATTTCTAATCTTTGTAACGTATTCTAAGAATTTTTACTCTAACGAAAAAGCTTGTAATTTATTTGAATGAAAAGAAGTTTATCATTGAGTTTTTCTTTTATATTACAAGGAAAAGTTCAATTAGAAAGGAAATGCTCGAGATTCTTTACAATTTGACTATCCTTCGAGTCCCAATATAGGGAATGGTTTTTAATGTAAACTCTACTGAAGTATTCGATTCCAAGGACTGTAGCTTTTATTCCCACACAGATGGTACACTCACCAAGCCTTAAGGAGATAATTATCACTGCAGATTCATCCATCAGCTGCTATTTATAAAAATCTATAGAAACTTTGCTCTTTTCCAGTATAACACGCAAGAAGTCTATGTGATCCTTCACAATTGTTATCGAGGCAAATCATACACAGCTTCCCCGTTCTGTCACAGCCTAATAACATTAACAGTGCTGCTTTCAGGCGTCAAGACTGCACTTAATTGTGGGGCTTTAACGGGGACTCTGTTTCTCTCTGCTCTGTGCGCACTCTTCGCCTCACCGATAGCCGGCGATGTGTGCGGCTTCGGGACGCTGAAAGACGCCCTGTGACGCCGGGGCTTTCCTGAAAACGCTGCACCCCCCCCCCCCCCCCCTCCCACCGCCCACCGCTCCGCGCGCACACAGCGCCGCCCGAGAAAAAACCCACACCGATATCGCGCGCGTGTGCGGTGAAAGATTACTCCTATATAGCTGCAATACATAGCGCACCAGCGAAAGGTTCCGCCCGTGTGTGCGTGCCGGTGCACTCGTGTGAGTGGCCGGGACCGCTGTTTTGTGTTTTTCGCTTAGCCGTCGCGTGTGTGCGTTGTATTGACATTTTTATATGTGAACTAGCGTCCGTCGGTACGCCGGAGCCGATGTCGCCATTGAAATTCTCCATTTCTTATTACACTATTCAGATTATAAGCGTCTTGGCTTGGGGGTAGCTATGCGTTTCCCATTTCACCGGGTCCTCATATCGGTTGTACTCTGTCGGTTAATTACATACGTACGTCTCTACATTGTTGGGCTGTCTCTACGTCTATGGATTAGGAAACGCGTCACGGAGTTTTTTTAACGAATCGCGAGAAATTATGCAAATGGCTGACGCTGATACTCTTTAAAATGTTATGGTTAGGTTAATTGTGTTTATCATGGACGATACTAAATTTATGTTAGATCTTTGACGGTAACGTAAATTTATGTCTTTCACATGATGCTGCTAAGAGCGTTATGAAATGTATGTGGTTGCTATTAAGGGCCCTTCTTACATTTGTGACTATTCCTATGGACGATTCACTTTAATGAATATTCATAAATCTTGCTATTGTATTCTATTGCTGATATTTAGCGTATATATGCAGTTAGTCTGTACTTGTTCTGCTGTTCTGGGGTAGTCAAATAATAAAATGATTTCACTTTCATAACCCCACGGCCTGATTTTGCTAGTAACTCTCATTTTGCTCTTTTCTTTAATTTAAGGTAATCCGATAACTTTGCTCGATTAAAAAGTAGATTATAGTTAATACATTATTACGTAATTTACAGAAGATTGCAGAAGTTTATTATATATACACATTTATAGTAAGAAACAAGGAAGGATAATTCACAAAGAATGTTATTTATTAATATTCAAAGATATGAAATGAATAAAACATATACGCCTAAAGAAGACAAAAAAAATCATTTTACATATATTCCGTTCATATTTTCTTCTATCAAATGTTAAACAATGCTGTTTAGTGCTTTTTAATCGCCAAAACGAATGCTCACTAAAACAGTAGAACAATACATATTTGAAAATGAGTTTTTATATACTTAGAAGATTTTGTACGTAATACTTGGTAGATACTTGAAAGAAAGAAAGATACGTTTGCTCGGGGGATCACTTAGGCCAAACATCCATTAAGACCAAAAAAAACCAGATAGGTTAGAGTAGATGAAGAAAGTGTTTCGAAACTATAAGACACCGCAGTACGCCGTGGATCACATGCTGTGTAGTTATGCAGCCGAGTATCCGCCCAAAGCGTAGAGCAGACATTCTATCTGCGCTACACTTTGTAGAGCGCTTTGATTTAAAGAATTAAACCGCTCTAAGATCCCTCTGTTTTTTGCGATTACTCTGATACGTATATTTATCTTATCCTTTAAACGAGCAATTGTTGTATATATATATATATATGTGTGTCCCTGTTTTCAGGAATTGAAAAATATCAAAAATATACGATTTACCAAAAAAAACCGAGCAATGCTCGGTCCTCCAGGTACTAAACTCCTTTTCGTCAATGATAGTATATAAATATACAATATCGCCGCCGGTACGGAAACAACTTTTGACTGTGGTATAGCCGTCTACCCAGTGCCAATAGGCAGGATCGTAGAAGTAAGTACGTAGCCCTCACTGGCGCCGAATGTGAGGTGCTATATTATATTTTTACATTTCTTCTGGAGGATGAGGTAGCAGGCACACTCTTTCAAAGGCTGGTGAAGCTTCTACAACCTTACGGGTGTTGTAGAAGACTATGGGAGGTGACAATTACTTAACGTCCAGTAAAAATGCCCTCGTGACAAGGACAATTCAGTCCGATATTTTATTTATTTTATTTATCTCGTATATTTTTATTTTAATGAAAACCAACAGCTTATACAAAATAAATAAGAAAACAAAATAATAACTAGAAATATGTTAACTATTCGCTTGCCTAGCAGCAATAAATGCTGCTTATGAAGTTTAATTAAAATTAGTGGAGCCATTGTATGAAAAAAATAAAATTAATTAAAAATCTTTTATCTCACACTACATACAAATATTTAATTAATATAAAACCTTAAATATCCACTTATAAAAGGAGTAAATCATAAACAGAGATTACGATTCTTCACTCTCCTCTGTCTTTCTTCAATACTTCTGTATCTTTCACATGTACCCACCATTCTTCCCTCATACATATATCCCACGTTGGCAATACATTACCAGTAAAAATTTCAATGCGGCCCATTTCATTCGTACAAATTGCAAAATAGTGCGATAAAATTTACGTTTAGACAATAAACTACCCGGAACAAAATAAATCATAGCTTTCGTAGCAGCACCCCATACATTGTAGTTACCAATCGCCTACGAGGAGACAAAAGTGATGCAAAGCACGCGTAGCTCTGTCCTTTCTTCTAGAATTTTCTTCAGTAGCCAAACGACGATAATTAGGAATGCTTCTTCTTTTATTTGAATCGCAAGTTCACCCACTCGATGTCTTCGAGACCATTAAAGCCGGGAGCACACGATCTCCTAAGGCCATCAAAGCGTATCAACTCCAGTAGTTTTTGCCCGTAATGAGCAGCCGACGAATGTTGCGATAACTTGTTAATATTCATCTCTCATTTTCCGCATTAGCATACCATATCGCGCAGTCGATTTTGAGCTTTATGTCGCAGTGGAAAAGAGCTGTCCGTCCACGCGTAGCACTTTTTGTACAGCGATCGATTTACCGGAAAATCGAGCGTTTGTACTGTCTCGTTTTTCTGTCTGCTCGCTCGATTTAATCGCACCGTTGAAGCATTAAGAGCCGTCTGCAAATTGTTGTGTGTTTTTTTGGTTACAAGTATACATATCACTCACATTTATTTATTTATTTATTTACCCTTTATGCACAAATAGTACAATGGCGGACTTAATGCTAAAAGCTAATCTCCCAGTCAACCTTGGGGTGATACAGAGAAAATTAGGTTGGTGCAAAGAGAGATTTCCAACATTATATTGATGTAACTGACATAAAATAACTAGTATCTTTTACCTGTGAACTAAGCAATTACTGACTTTTTGTGCAATTATCTAGAACAAAATTCATAGTAATCATTAATGTGCACATTGCAACAAAACATTGGCTCTTCATCGTTGGACATGATACTCAGAAATAATGTTTATTTGTGACAAAATATTTATAAACGTTTTAGTAGATTTCAAAGTTTATCCATAATTCATACTACTAACAAACGGCGTAAATAAATTTACAGCTATTTTGGCCGTTGTGATAAGAATAGATACAAATATTTCCAATCCTATTACTTGGTCTGAAATAAATTTCAATGAGATGTTTTATACAATTACAATACAATTTACACACTTAAAACGTCAGTATATGTTTTTAAGGAAGACAAGGATGCGGTCACTCTATCTAGTTCATTTATTGCAAAAATTAGATCCAAAGCAGCAATTTCATGATAGCAAGTATTTTCGCACGTCGAATCTACGACTTACGTTCATCAAAGCAGCTAAAGCTCAGGGCGGGGTCAACACTTGTGATGACCATAACAACTTCAACATAAAACACTTGCTCAAACATATACCGTATTTACATGCAGTCCATCCGGGGAGGTACCACGACCTAACCGGAAGAAGACCGGCGTGAACTGGCAGCGTTATACTTCTGCGTTTCTTCTGGTGGGAGCCAGGGGCTACTTTATTGAAAGGTGGCAGCGTATTTGTTATCCTACGGGTATTGCAAATGTCTATAGGCGGCGGTTATCACTTCAGGTTAAGCTCACTTGCCATTTTCTTACAGAAAAAAAAAAGATGATAGAGCTAACAATCTCTCTCCGCCTCGTTAGTAATCAAAACACGCGAGCTTTGAACGCGTCAGTTTGCCGTTACAACTTGCTATCATAGCGATAGTTAGGACCTATCTGGGCTACGTCTGTTCGCACTCGCATCGTTTAAGGCGTGAGGCACTTCGTCTGTCCAACAATGTATTCCCAAACTTTATCAACGGTTGTACGTCGCGCTTACGGGAAAAACAGCGGGAATTTCTCAATTATCGCGTCGGATGGGAGTACCGGCGAAGGATCGAGATGTATGACACCCCCCCCCCCCCCCTACCCACCACAAGCTGGGGGCGGTTGGGTGACCCATTTATCCAGCGCGAAGTAATGGAGCACTTGCAATACATTATTAAAATGCAAAAGACGTATTGGCAATCAAGCGTTCCATCCTTACATAGTAATCGTTTTACATAACGACTATTATGCTTGAATGTCTTTTTGCAGCTCTAACAAGCTCCGCTAACGTTTGAATGATGTCTTATGCCAGAAAATGCATTTTACCCTTAGATGGTGAAAGCAATGTTGGTCAGAGCTGTTAATCTAATTGTTATTGCTTATGCTGATGTAAAGTAACAGTCTTTACATGTCAAAAATATATAAGTTTAAATTAAATTCCGAGCAGTGACGTGAATTATGTCTGACTTACACTACATAGAAGCGGTGAATTTTAACGTCATTGCCATTTTTAGGTACTTCTTGCGTGATAATATTATTTACTTGTATGTGCCAAGTGCGTCGTGACGGGCTAATCACCGGTCACGCTTATTTAATAAACTAGGCAGCCTTAACTCAAACTATTTGTTATAACACATTGGTATATCATACTCTACAATCCTTTTCTGATCAAGATACATAGATAGAGTTTTCCTAAGAAGAGAAACGTCAGAACGAGATTTAATTCGAACGTTTAACGTCATAGTGAAGGGTTTGTCTCAAGAGCCGCGAGAATCAAGGCGTGTCTACAACCCCGT